CTGATGATATATTTTTAATAATATTTTATTGTTCTGAAGGTGAAAGTTTACACAGCAAATTAGTTTCTCATTTAACAATTTCTACACAAATAATATTCAGTGATATGGGTTACATTTTTCCCAATGTTGTCGTCATTCTCATTCATTCCATTCTGGTTGTACCATTTCCAGGACTCTAGTTTCCCTGCTCCGTTACCTTCTTGTCTTTAGAGTAATTTTTGACCATTTGGTCTCAGATGGATGATTTTTATTTTAATAATATTTTATTGTGTTTTAGGTGAAAGTTTACACAGCAAATTAGGTTCCAGTTTAGCAATGTTTATACAGATTGTTCCGGGACATTGGTTACAATCTTCACAATGTGTCAGCGTTCTCGTTATTTCCATCGTCTGTTCTGTTTCCATTGATCTAGCTTCCCTTCCCCTCCTTGCCTTCTCACCTTTCCTTCTGGGTAAATGTTGACCATTTGGTTTCCTACAGTTAATTGTTTAAAAGAGCACATTACTCACGGGTGATACCGATTATTTCGCATCACATAGAGATGATTTTTTAAAGAAGTTCAATACTCATGGGTGCTATTCTTTATTTTATGAGCCAATCTGTTATTTGGCTAAGCGGTGACCTCAAGGGATAATTTCGCTTTAAGGTATCCAAACAAAGTAAACCTACTGCCATTAAGTCAATTCCAGCTCATAGCGAGCCTACGGGTCACAGAAGAACTGCCCCATGGGGTTTCCAAGGCTGTCAGTCTTTATGGAGGCAGACTGCCACATCTTTCTCATGCGGAGCAGCTGGTGGGTTCCAACCGCCAACCTTTGGGTAGCAGCCGAGCACTTAACCACCGAGCCACCAGAGCTCCCTCCCTTTAAGGTTTAGTGATGATGATATTCATTCTTCACTTATTGGGAATACACATTATCCAAACACACCATGTAGTTTTTAGAAAAGTGCTTGCAAATAGAAGCCTCAAGTCTTCTCATCTAATTTAGAAACAAAACTCAAATTACAAAAATAAAATGTCTAACATTTGCTTTAAAAAAAGAGGTTATTTTTTAAAGAACAAAATATGAACATTCACAATCACAGATCACGTTGCTGTCATCTACCAATCTATCTTTTACTACCTATTTACCTCCAAACCCAAACATGGGTTATTTTAAAATTCAAGCAATGCTTTAACATAAACAGTAAGCATCACTTCAAATGCTGTACAGTCAATATGCCTTAACATAAATTAAGAATAGCATTTTAAGTGAATTGTATACTACAATCTTTAAAAATTTATCAGCCAATAAAGTATTTCTTTTAGCTATAACCATTATGTACCATGCAAAAACATGGGAACGTTTTACACTCCCTAAGGAGAGTTACTAAGATTAGATGTTACTAAGAAATAATGAAGCAAGAGGTTTGTTATTTTGGGGGGTGGGGGAACGTTGGGAACACCGGCTTTAAAAAAGCGGATTCTTTTCCTATTGAGCATTTCTATAAATTTTTCCCATTCTGCTCACTGCAGGAAATTTTTAAATGTCAGAAAAGCTGAAGACTATTGAGTTCACCAGGGTCGCACGCAGCCGCTTGCTCAGCATGGTCGAGTACAGTGTATGTTCCATCTCTTTTCTACCCGTTTATTTTCTGTAACATCTCAACATGCACAGGGATGTAGCTATGACTCAGCTAGCCCTCAAGAGGTTAAGCCCTGCCCTTGCCATTTTCCCCCTGGGGGGCCTCCGTGTTCCCGCCTGGAGAAAGAGGCGGCCTTCTGCCCCTCCGCTCACAGCCGCGTGGGCACCGCGAGCAGTGCGCGTTTTCTCACACTGCGGCCTGCAGACGTCGGGGTCTCTGGGGTTCCCAAGTCCTCCTTCTGGAGGGTAAGACAACAGGCTACTACAGCAGTGTTCCTCAAACTTCCGGCACAATCCAGACTGAGAAACACATTGTATATTTCTACCCAGTAAAGCTTATCCTTGAAGCTCTGGTGGCACCGTGGGTAAGAGCTCGGCTGCTAACCAAAAGGTCGGCAGTTCAAATCCACCAGCCGCTCCTTGGAAGCCCTATGAGGCAGTTCTACTCTGTCCTATAGGGTCGCTATGAGTCGGAATCGACTCGACAGCAACAGGTTTAAAGCTTACTCTTATCATGTGAGCTGCCCTTTGCATCCTGAAATATACTACTCATGTTCTTAAATGTGGCTCATGACCATTAAAATGTTTCCCAACTCATGAAGGCGTCACAACCTGCAGGCTGAAAAACACCCGCTACCCGGTTACGCTACCCAGCGGGACGACTAGCAAGGAAGCCACTCATGTGCACTGTGATCCCCAACACCTAAGACGGGACTATCAGTCAGAGGGTAACAGTTACGTTCTGGCCATCTCTGTAGCCTGCGGGGTTTCAACAAGGCATATGGTCTGCAAGAAACTGTAATTCCTTACAGCTGAATCTCTTGATCCAAACAAACTTCATGATTAAAAACAGAAGTTATCCCCCAAACCTGGAGGTTTCCGAGTCCACAGGGTGGAGAAACAGCTGTTGAAGTCAGAAAGGCCCACTGATGAGGGGATGGTATTGGACACAAGGCAAACCTGTTACCAAGGTCACCCACCCGTGTGGGGAAGGTCCAGAAAGGTGACCAAGAGCAGCAGTTCTCAAGAAGCCTTGATCTGGAGTCCAAGCCACACACCCACCATTCCCACACCAGCTGTTTGACACTGGGCTGGACCTTGGTTTCTTCAGTTGCAATGAGGCTAATCGCGGCCTTCGCTGCCTTACAGACTCTCTGTGAGGTCAGAGATGGCGGCTGTGGACGTGCATTATGCTGCACCATGCTGGCCATCACTTGGAGATGGTGCTATGGACGGATGGTGTGGGCTTCAAATCACAGCCCGGCTTCTCCAACAGTGGGGAGGTGGCTTTAGGAGACAGACGGGGCATCCCCTTGGGACAGGACGCTGGGGGTGGTGACTTCAGGAGAGGGGCTGGTTCCAGTGAGAACCGGAACGTAGAAGTAACGGCGTGACCCAAACTGCAACGATACTACCTCCCACCCACTAGAACGGCTATAATCAGACAGACAGACAGTAACGAGTGTGGGTGAGGCCGCGGGGAAACTGACACCCGGGGTATACACTGCTGGTGGGAGTGGGACATGGTGCAGCGGCCGAGGAAATGCTTGGTGGCTCCTTAAAAATTAAAACATAGTTACCACAGGACCTAGCAATACCACCCCCAGGTATATACCCAAGAGAACTGAAAACATACGTTCACACAAAAACGTGTACACGAACGTTCACAGCAGCACTGTTCCTAATAGCTACAGATGGAAACCCAAACATCCATCAACCGATGACTGGGTAAACAAAACCCGCTTTAGCCACACACGTCACTTCTGCTCACGTCACCGGCCCACCAAAGTCCAACGGGGCCTGGCAGCCCTTCCACGCCCCCAGGAAGCAGAGACCTGGAAATCTGGGGCCCAGCACCGAGACTCCCCAATACCTGCATCAACAGCACGCCTTTTCTCCCCACCCCACCCCACCCCAGATCTTGGCAGTATCTGCTTCATTTTCTCTAAGCTTTTTAAAAAGAAGACTCCGTGTGTGTCCATGGGTGTTACAGAGATGCAAGCATCACCTACCTACGGTGTGTGAACGGCAGGAAAGAGGCGGAGGTCAGAGTTTTGTGCATACAAGGGAGTGAGAAGTCCCGCCTGCCACCACTGACCCCTAACTCCTTCTGCAGGCAGCACCTCTACTGTAGGGGACGGCCGTGGGCAGAGGGAGCTGTCTCAGTGCGACAGTGACCGGGCAGCAAAAGGCACACGGGTCGCTCAAAGACATAAACATCCCAAGTCACAAAGGGGGCTGTTCCAAACGTACCCAAAACACCACACCCATGGCCGGTGAGCCGGTTGCTACTCACGACAACCCTATGTGTCACAGACAACTGCTCCATACTGTTTTCTTGAATGTAATCTTTACGGAAGCAGATCACCAGGCCTTTCTTCCGCAGTGCTGCTGGGTGGGTTCGAACCACCCACCTTTGTGTTAGCAGTCAAGTGCCAACTGTTTGCGCCAGAGACCTTGTTCTGAATATATGCCTACCTACCCTCCAGAAGCAGCCCAGCATCAGTGCCTGAGTCTTGCCCACACTGTACCCCCAGCCCCGACTCAGACATGCCCACAGAGCAGCTACTGATGAGCCACCTTCTACTTTGCAGACACAAAAGAGCAGAGCTTTTACTGTCTCCCCACCGTCTCCAACACAGTCACCTTTCCTCTGAGGCTCTCCGGCAGCCCCTGCGGGGAGACGTGGCCCCCAGCGCGGGGTGATCAGTAGCAGCTGAGGGCGGACTTCTGTCTTCTGGAAGGGAGCTGTTGGCACGTGAGCTTCCACACACACACTCCGCAGGGAACCCACAGCCGTTAGCATGACAAGACGCAGGGTGATGTACAATGCCTAGATGTGGAAGCATTTCCAATAGCATCAATTCTTAATATCTTATGACCGAGAGGCAGTGTTTGTACCAAGAAGTACTGCAAACAAGTCTGCAGGTCTTCTATAGGTGCGATGGAATGGTTTTTATTTTGTTAATACAAAAATATGCAATAATGATTTAAAAAACCCACCCTTTACAAAACACAGTGGTATGTCGTGACCTACCTGGTTGTTATCTGGGGTTGTGGAGCTGGCTCAACCACAAGCACCTGGTGGCAGAGAAGTGGCCAGTGCCCTTGGCTGATAAAGGCGGGCCACAGTGAGTCTCGCCAATTCTAAAATATGGAAGAGTTGGATGAGGCTGGCTGGTGACACCTCCCTCTTTCTTGCAGGCATTTCCCAGCAGGCTAGAGGTCTTAGAATAGGTGTCCCTTTTCTCAGTAAAACTATATCCCCAGACACTTGACTAGCTGATAAACTGCCCAGTCAACGAAAGAAACAAAGGTTATATTCTGACGTCTGCAAATTTCAACACAGCTCATTACACAACACAGAAAGCCACCTTGTTTTTTGTTGTTGCTGTTTTTTTTTTGCTATTGTTTTATTTGGGAAAAGTGCTTCTTACAAAAGGGCAGCTGCAAAATACAGAGACCTCTGTGACAATTACTTGTTTTTCATAAAGTGAAAGAATGGGTGGATCCAAGGAGTCAAAGCAGTAGATGGACAACCAGGAGCATTTCCAAGTCATTTTCAGAAACAGAGCAACAAAATGCGAAGCTAAAATTTCCTGTTATGCAATCCCCAACTCAACCTCCGCCTGTCTCGTGGCCTGCCACCCCGCCACCCGTCAGTGGAGAAGCGTGGCTTGTTACTGTCACCCACTGCTCCACTGCAGAACACACCTTAGAACACGGTTCTGAATCACATCTGTCTATCTGCAAGGCTCAGGGGTGGGATGAGGCAAATACCCACAAAAACCCAACAACACAACCCCTCCAACGAGAACAGTGGTCAAAAATGCCTGTACCAGAGAGGCTCGGAGCTCACGACCCAACGAGAACAGTGTTCGAAAAGTGCCTGTACCAGAGAGGCTCGGAGCTCATGACACATGAAATCCAACGGTGTGTCTGAGACCCAGCTTGTGTTAATAGAAGGGATAACCAGGTAGTTTTCACCTCTGGGCTAATCCCGTTTCTCTATTTACAGAGAGCTGGCACTGCTTTATAAACATCTGCCAACGTCGATACACTGCCGTGCCCTTTACGCTCTATCTGCTGCGCTAGGCTGAAACCACTACGTCGGGTTCTCCGCTAGGGCTAAGGAGACTGCTTCTACGCAGGGAGGAGGCTGGTCACACACGCCCACTCGCTCACGCCAAGTCAACTTGGAAGTCAACTTCCAGCTCGGCGCTGCCCTCACGCCATCTATCTTTTACACGTATGTGTCTTTCACAAGCTTTCCTATCATGCTAAACACGGGAAAAATCTCAACACATTCACACCTGGCTCTGGGTACCCAGTAGTATTACTCGTGTGCAAGTCAACAAGAGACCACACCCACACAAGGACAAGTGCACGCAGTGGGGCTCACAGGGTGGGGACAGATATAAAGACACGTGTGCAGGCTTCACCAGGAGCCGAGGCCGCCACCTCGTCGGTCACTAGGAGGAGGCCGCTTGCCAACTGAGGACCCTGTCCCATCACCCCTAGTCCTGGACTCCAAAGCCAGGCCGATGCTTTTGCTCTGCACCTGGGGTCCTCAAAGCAAGCGTGGCCAAGTCCGCACACACTGCCCTAGAGCTGTGAGTCTGCCTGGCAACAGATGATGCAACAAACCTATGCTAACTGTCTGACAGTTAAATTCATATTACAAAAAAAACTAACTTCAAGGTTTATTTTTGTAACGTTTTTAAACAGAGAAAACACCACACTCCTGGGGGGAAGGTGAGGGCGGAGGAGACAGACCCTGGGTAAGATGACAACAGCACCTGGGGCGGGCAGGCCTGCCTAGGAGACACTCAGGCCCCGCCACACCCCCCGGGAAGAGCCACTGGCCGAGGCGCAGACCAGTCCGCGCGCGGCTGCCCGCCGCTATAGGTCCAAGTCGTAGAAGTCTTCCAGCTCATCGTGAAACAAGTCCCACTCGTCTTCCGAGTCTGTCAGGTCGTCGTCCCCACCTGCGGCCAAAAGCATAAGCAACATCTCGCCCAGCTCAAAGGTGACCACCTCTTCTTCGTCGGTGTCAAAAGGGTTGCTGTTCTCTCTTTCCTCAATGAGCTCCCAGAAGTGGTTCCTTCGTTGGGCCTGTAAAAAACAAGGCCGTGATAGGGACGGCACTGCTGGCCGAGCGGTATCTTCTAGGCTGCGGTCTAAGGCAAACCGCCCAGCACAGCGAGGGCATGACGAGCCGGACTTCTGCTTAGGGTCTCCATGTTACCAGCTCCTCCCCTCGGGTACTTGGTGCACTCGGCTTAGTCTAGAGCGTCAAGCACTCCACTTTGTCCTCGCTCATCCCTCCCAGGTTCCTGAGGCTTCCTTCCTCCTGTCACACTCTAGTCTCACTCCCAGACCTCAGTGTTAATCTTCGCCTTCCCCTACCCCAACCTGTGCAGGACTCAACGGACAGCGAGGAATTTCCCCTCCTTTAAGAAAAACGCGAGAGTTACCCGGCATCTGCTCGATGCTCCCACTTTCTGTCTCTGTGGCTCCTCTCTACGGCCATCAGGGTAGGCGTGCTTGTAAAAACAGTTCCCTCCAAACGGGCAGCTCCCACGTCCTTCATCAAAATACCTGCACGCCTTGTTGCTGGAAAGGAAAATATCGCAACCCTTATTCACACTGGATTTCAGGCCTGCACTGGCTATCATCCGGGCGGGGTCGAGCCAGCACGTCTGTCTACAGCCCTCCCCAGGTGCGTTCTGAGACACGTGCGCTCGTGCACGACACTAACGAGGCACAGGCACGCTGCCCAGTCTACGCTGGGGAACAGCTCTAACACCACAGAGCCAGGGGTGGCCTCTGGAAGCCAACGCACGGGTTAACACAGGACAACTCTAACATGGACTGCAATCCGGTCGTGCCCCAGCCACGGGGCTATAGCGACTGGCAGCACAGACTCTGTTGTAACGCAGTCTCTTGGCGTGCACCCCAAGGACTGTGTTATAGCAGCGCACACAGTGGGCAGGTGCTGTCAGAGGTGACAAACGAACCGTACTGGGAAGTCAAAGAAAGGGTAGGAAGGAGGTAGGAGTAGATTACGCAGCACTGTTCTTTTCAAAGTGAGCCCAAGCACCGTTGGGGTCTTAGATGGAGAAGAGGCTGCCGTGCTCATACCTCATTGCCTCCTTGTATTTCTGAATCAGTTTCTGCTTCTCTTCTTTCTCCTCCACCCAGTACTCACTTGGAATGACAAAGTTAGATGTGATCCGGCATTCGGGGCAGGACCTGGGAAACAATGAAGAGGCTGCAGTGCAAATCCCCTTTCAGGCCCACGCTTCTCCAGGACACACCCTGGTGCGCCACACCCAGCTTTACAACTGAACTGGGGCAGGTGGGCAGCTCCTGAAAGGGTTCCACAGTCACACAACTGACCACTCCTGGGAGGCAAGACAAACGCCTTCATCAACTCAACTCATTGGCTAGCCAGTTCTTTTTTTAAAAAAAATAGTAACTTAGGTAAAAAAAAAACAACAAAAAAGACATTTCACACAGACTCCTTTTTCTTTCGTTTAAATAAATTTATTTCTTGTAACTTTGCTCTGTTTAGAGTATGTCGTTTTGTTCAGTTATGAGAACAATCTTTAAAGGATGGTGACTTGTGGGCTAGCTTAATGGATGGAACAGGAAGGTGGAAAATGTAAAATGTCAGGAAACATACATTCAGAGCTAGGTGCGTCTGCTCATCGAGCCTCCACTGGCTAATCCATGACAGTCTCCTCAGAAAAAGCACGAAGATTCTACTAACCGATACAGACGGTTGCCTCATTCAAATTAAAGTAGATATACCAACTAACCTAGAAGCTAGCTGAGATACAAAGAAGAAATCCCAATCAGAAGAATACCCCAGTTTCAAGATAAAATGCATGCATTTAAATGCGGTCCATCTGGTTGAAAGTTGGCACAAGATACTAAATTCTTCCCCAAACTAGAAAGCACAAACGGAGATTGGGGAGGAGTCTCACTTTATGATCTTGCTCTCAAATTGCTTAGCACTCCTCCACTTGCGGATACACTTGAGACAGTAGGTGTGGTTGCAGTTGGAGAGGATCCCAAAGCGGCGCTCGCTGGGGTTGGCCTTCTCATAGACCACCTCCATGCAGATCCCACACACCATGTCCTTGCTGCGCTGGACAGCGAACGAGAGCTCCATGTCCTTCTCATGGGCCTCGATGCAAGACTGGAGAGAGCAAGAGACACGAAGTGCGGTCAAGTCACTGCACGCGAGAGGTGGAAAACTCAACAGCTGGCAACTCACAATCAGAGAATCAAACGGGCACCTGAAGGAGCCTGGGAAGGAGGATGGCCCCCGTGTGACGGAAAAACGAGCTCTGTTCAAAGTGGACACGAGTGTACTGACATCTGGGGACCTCACAAGACTATAAAACCCACTCTGAAAGACTTCGTTTCGGAACTGAAAAGCTACCCGACTTTCTCCGTCCTACCCTGGTAGCTCAACCCTCGCTGTTAGCCGCACTCAAGACAGCGTTCATACTAAGTTTGCTGGCTTTTTGGTTTACAGCTGGAGAATGCAATGAGGATCAAGGCCCCCATTTACACCTGTCAGAAGAGAAGAGCAAAGGAGACTAACGTTTACCAGGTGACAAATGTGTGACAGGCACAGAACTGTCAAATGCCCTAAAAAAAAAACAGCTTTACTAAGATACATTCACACACCATACAATTCATCCACTTCAAGTACAAAAGTAAACGGCTTTTAGAATGTTCACAGAATTGGGCAACCATCCCCACAATCAACAGAACATTTTCATCACCCCAGAAAGAAACCCTATACCCACTAGCAGTCGCTCCCCATTTCCCCCAATCCCCTCCAGCTCTAGGCAACCACTAATCTACTTTGTCTCTATCAGTTTGCCTATCCTGGACGTTTCATATAAACGGCATCATTCAATACGTGGTCTTTTGTGTCTAGCTTCTTCCATTCCGCACAATGCTTTCAAGGTTTGTCCGTGCTGTAGCGTGTTATCAGTGCTTTGTTCCTTTTTCCTGCCAAATGATACCCCACTGTGCGTACAAACCGCACGTCGTTTATCCACCCGTCAGTGGCTGGGCATTTAGGCCGTTTCCAGCTTTCAGCTATTATGAATAATGCTGCTATGAACACTGAAATGTGAGTTTCCTATAATTTTTGAGACTCAAGTCTTTGTCTTCTCCACTCGTAACTACTCCTAGCTGGGCGGGCTTTGGCCTGTGGGCCTCAGTGGGCCAGGCCCCGTCTTCGAGTGGAGATCACAAGTTTTCTTTAAGAAACATGCTTGTTATAAAAAAATATGAAAAACATAGAAAAGCAATAGAAAAAAAGTCACCTATAATCCCACCTAAAACACTTATTATTTTAGTTTATTTCCTTGTCTTTTTTAAAACCTTCTATATATTTAACAATCCTCAAAAATAGGCATTATCTTTGGCAATCAACCCAAAACACCAAACCCAGTGCAGTCAGTTCTGACTCATGGTGACCTTACAGGACAGAGCAGAACTGCCCCATAGGGTCTCCAAGACTGTAAATCTTCACAGAAGCAGACTGCCACATCTTTCTCCCGAAGAGTGGCTGGTGGGTTTCAACTGCCGACCTTTTGGTTTGCAGCCAAGTGCTTAACCACTGCATCACCAGGGCTCCTATTATTCCCAATATATAGATGAAAAATTTAGAGAGATTTAACCTGCCCAAACGCACACAGCTAGCAGGCTATGAAGGCAGGATTTCAAACAAGGTCTATGTTACACCATGCTTCACCTCCCCCAACCAGATTATTTTTATCAAATAGAGATGAAATGATAATTAGAAGAAAATTTACTCCAATAATGATAAGGTCTGTGATGCAATGTCTTCCCAACACGGAGTTCGTGCTGTGAGTGGGTTGAAAACCCCCAGTCTGAACCCCTCATATATTGCTAGTGGGACTGTGAAATGGAGCCACCACTCCAGCGAAGAGTTTGGCAGATGCTCACAACGCCAGACATCGGGTTACCGTATGACCCAGCAATTCCACTCCTAGGTATACAGCCAGGAGAGACAAAAATATATGTCCACATCCACCAACGGAATATTATTCGGTAGGAAAAAGGAATGAAATTCTGATACGTGTTACAACAGGAATGAACCTCGAAAAGAGTATGCAGCGTGAAGTCAGTTAGTCACTAAAGGCCACATATTGTATGATCCCATTTACATGAAGTTTGCGGCTAGACAAATCCAGGGAGAGATAGGAGATTACGTAGTTGTCACCAGGGCTGGCGGGAGGGAAGAATGGGGGTGTTGGGTTTCTTTTGGGGGTGACTGAAATGTTCCAAAATTAGACAGGAGAGTGATAACGGTCCAACCACTCTGTAAATCTACTAAAACCGATGAAATGTACATTTTAAAAGAGTCGATTGTTTGGTGTGTGGATTATACCTCGAAAAACTGTGATTTAAAAAAAACAGAAACAAAAAACTTGCATAGTCTGAGGTTCTGGAAAGGGGACTTCTTGAAAAAGCATTTCTGGGAGCCAGGCGGGAAACCATCCCTACTGCTGCTAACCGTTCAATTCACCAGATGTTTCTCTGAAATGAACGGCAACGTGGTAAGAGCGAACTCGTTTCTCACACCTACAAACATACGCACGTCCCTGCAGACTTACTTTAATGTGCTGTGACCGCTGGGCAGCATCCACGGGGTGCAGGACCTGCAGCCCACACATGTCACATGAATCTCCGTGCAGATAGACACAGTTCTCCCCGTAACGGCACTCCCCCACTGCAGCATAGGGGCAAAGCTGCTGCTTTGTCTCCACAGCAGGCTGCTCCTTCTCTGATTCTTCCTTGGTCACTGAGCCCTGTGGGGGTACTTCAGTGCAGGAAGGGGCAGCTGAAATGTTTAAGAGGGCAGTAAAGGTTCAAGGGGCACAAGGCAGATATATAAACTATAAGGTAACTGAGAAGCTAACGGAACAGAAAAAATACAAAAGAACTTCAATTAAACTGCAAAACGGTCTTCTGAACTACTTCCCTCACTTCTGAAAGACATGAATTCTTTCTGACATTTCCAAGATCAGGCTTGCAGGAACACAGCTGCTGTGTATTTCTTGTGCAACTGAAATTTAATTCTAAAAAATACTATGACGAGATGCTTGTTTTTCACATCATATTAAATTCACTTCTATCGGGATGCAGAGTTTCTCTCACTCCACCTACCAGTCTTAGGTAATCTGACTTCAAGCAGTAAAATTACGCTCCATATGAAGACAGGGAGCGGGAAGGGGGAGAAAACTCAGCTAGCTGATGACTGACCGCCTGAGCCTCTGACCCTGACCTTCCTCGTGAGAATACTCACCACGGCCACAGTAAGGCTGCCCGGGGACAAACTCGATGGCATTCACCCAGTCCTCCGCAGCTGCCCCGACAGTCGCCAAGTCTGCATTTCTCGCCTCAGGCTCACTGGCACTCATTCCAACAAGTGGTCCAACTCCTGATGAGAGGCTTGAGGAAGCAGCAAGGGATGGTTTTGTGGTTGGATCTGTAGCAGCTGCTTCTTCCTGTTTCAATGGTTTGCTATGTTCATATCTAAAAAACAGGAAAGAGTCAGCAGTCACCATCTAAACACAAGGAGCCTCCAGATGGAGCAGAGGACTACTCCCTGATGCTCTCCTTGTGTCCCCTCCAACGTCAGCGTGCACGTGGAGCACCGGGGAAACTGCTCACGCGCAGGTGCTGGATCTGTAAGTCTGGAGGGGGCCGCGATTCTGCAGGTCTTACAAGCCCCCGTACCACGCCAACACTGCTGGTCTAGGGACACACTTTCAACAGCAAGACCACAGGCCAGGGGTCCACAGACTGGAAAGCGTCCCATGAGGGAACACTTCAGGCCTGGCAGGCCATCTGGCCTCTGCGCAGTCACAGCAACACTCAAGTATGTAAATTTCATTCACACAAACAACCCCAAGGCCAGACGTGGCTTTCAGGCCATGTGTGCACACCCCTGTTGTGGACCAGTTATTCCACTTCAAATCCCACCCCAGTCAGGAGTTTCCGATGGGTGATGATCTACAGGGCCCACGGTAACTCTGCTAAAGACAGCGTGCAGCTAAGATGAACTGAAGAGTTCCTCAAGGCAAGGCTGACACGCAAACTGACTAAGAAGAAATGTGTAGCTTTTACCTACACGCATTGAAAATGCTCCCAATTTTAAAAGGAAAATGAAGTATTTACAAAATATATACTGCATATTTTCTTTTTTATAGCCATTCACCTAATTACGTCCTTACACATTCTCTCCTTTCTTTTCATCCATAAAACTACCGTTAAATCACATCTCAAACAACAGAAAAAATTCTATTTTCTTCAAGAGAAAATTCTCACAATTCCTTGAGCATTTTATGCTAAGAGTTACATTCTGACACAATTAATTAATCAGACAAAAATGTATGTACTAAATCTGAACTGTGCTAGAACTGCTGGTGTGTATGAGAACCATGGGTCAGAGTCCCTGGGTGGTGTAAGAAGTTACAGTGCTAACCAAAAGGTTGGCAGTTCGAGTATACCCAGAGAGGCACCTCGGAAGAAAGGCCTGGCAATCTACGACTGAAAAATCAGCTCTTGAAAACCCAATGGAATACAGGTCTACCCTGACACACATGGGGTCACCATGAGTCAGAACTGACTCGACTGCAACTACTTTTTTTTTTCCCAGTCACGGGTCATCTGTGTTACGGGGGTCTGTGTTTACACCTGAAAAAGCAGCAAAGCCTAACTAAAGATGTCCTTTGGCTTACAGCAAACATTTGCTGAGCCAGTCTTTGCGTATTAGCTCAACCTCCACCTTCATACTAAGCATCGGGCAGCCCACTGCGTCTCGCAGTACATGTCAGGGAGCCCACCTGCCATCACCTACAACAACCGGGTGCATCTTATCCATAGCTTGGAATCACGGGAGCTGAGGGATGAGGGGAAGGGACCATTACTGACGTGTCCTTCACGTGTATCTCACATCAGCGTCAAACAACCGTGAGGAATACTGTCATCCTTTCAGAGGTGGTGGAACGGTCACGAAGTGGACGGTGGGTCTCGGTTCAGCGTGACTCTAGCACCGCTCACTCCAGTATGGCAGCCACTGGCCACACCTGGCTGTTTACACAGGCACTCAGTGGAAAATCCGCTCCCCAGTCCTCACACCAGTCACTTCTCCTACTGTCCCACAGCCACACGCTAACTCCCGCAGACAGAGAACAGACCCGCCCTCTACACCGCAGCCCTGCTCGCCGCCTTCCCAGGGGCCGGGGGGAACCTCAGGAACCTAGCCCCAACCCTCACTCCTCAGATGACGTTTCCCCCTCATTCGAAAGGGAACTTCAGAAAAATATTTTATTATTTTCACAGCCTTTAAATTAGAAAAAGTTTTGGAGGATGAGATGAGGATGAAGCGAGAAGCTACGTGAAGAGATACGGAAGGTCCCTTTCCTTCTCCTTTGCACCTTGGCTGTGCGGACCGCAGGGTGAGTGACTCACAGGAGCACTCACTGCCCAGGACCAGCAGGCTCACTGTCGTCTCATCTCTACAACGCAAGTACCAGGAGTGCACTTTGGTGGAAGGTAAATTTAACTACCAAGAAGTCAACGAGGCTGAGTAAAACTTCAGAAAATATGGTATCAGTTCGCTAGAGAACCGACAGTTACAAATAAGTTTTGCTGCTTCCAAATATTCCACATTTTCTATGGTCATAAAAGAATCTGTTTTAAGAACAGACTAAAAACAAGTTGAGATGCCGTATTATATTCAGGAGCCCTGGTGGCGCGGTGGTTAAGAGCTTGGCTGCTCACCAAAAGGTCGGCAGTTCGAATCTACCAGCTGCTCCCTGGAAGCCCTGTGGGGCCGCCCTGCTCTGTCCTGTGAGGTCGCTGTGAGTCGGAATCGGCTCGGTGGTGACAGGCTTTTATATCACATTCACACGGTTCATGTAGCTGATCGCCACCTGGTACCAAACACCTACCCGCGTCGAGGACGCACCGTGTACCGAGGAGTCAACGGTGAAGAAACAGGGTCCCTGCCGTCGGATGAGAATCTATTTTGAAAATTAAAACTTTTAAAATTACGAGTTCCTCTAAAAAAGGAACACACATCAAATGAAAACTTCACTCTGAGGGATGACACCGAGAGGGAAAGGCAGTAGTTAACTTAAGTGCAGATGGCCTCAAGTCGAACTATTGAGGCCAAGGTCTAACTCCCCG